AGTTTTTTTAAATTAACTTCTTGTTATCTAATTTTAATAGATTTATACAGCTACAAAGACTTATTTAGTTTTTGCACCGATAAAATAATAACCACCGAATTTAATGACACCAGCAATGAAATAATAATCACCAAACTCGACATCACCAGCGATGAAATTATAACCACCTAATTCGATAACACCAATGACGAAATAATAACTACCTAATTCGATGACAACAGCATGAAATAATAACCACTGAATTCGACGACACCAGCACAAAATAATAACCACCTAATTCGACGACACCAGCAACGAAATAATAACCATCTAATTCGACGACACCAGCGATGAAATAATAGCCACCTAATTTGAAGATACCAGTGATGAAATAATAACTACTGAATTCAACAACACCAATGACGAAATAAGAGCCACCACTGAACTTGACGACACCAGTGACGAAATAATAACTACCGAATTCGATGACACTAGTGATAAAATAATAAGCACTGAATTCAACAACACAAGCAACGAAATAATAACCACCGAATTTGACAACACCAGTGACGAAATAAGAGCCACCACCAAATTCACAACACCAGTGACGAAATAATAACCACCAAACTAACCACACCAGTGATGAAATAAGAGCCACCACTGAATTCGATAACACCAGCAACAAAAATAATAACTACCGAATTCAATGACACCAGCGACAAAATCATAACCACCAAACTCACGACAACAGCGACGAAATAATAACCACTGAATTTGACAACACCAGTGATGAAATAATAACCACCAAACTCAACAACACCAGCGACAACATAATAACCACCGAATTCGACACACCAATGACGAAATAATAACCACCAAACTCGATGACACCAGTGATGAAATAATAACCACCGAATTCGACAACACCAACGACAAAATATAACCACCGAATTCGACAACACCAGCACGAAATAACAACCACCAAACTCGATCACACCAATGACAAAATGCATACACACCAAATTCGACGACACCAATGTTGAAATAAAAGCCACCACAGAATTCAATGACACCAGCGATGAAATAACAACCACCAAACTCGACGACACCAATGACGAAATGCATAAGCACTGAATTCGATGACACCAACAACAAAATAAGAGCCACTACCGAATTCGACGACACCAGCGACGAAATAATAACTACCGAATTCGACAACACCAGCGACAAAATAATAACTACTGAATTCAACAACACCAGCAACGAAATAATAACCACTGAATTCGACAACACTAGTAATAAAATAATAACCAACAAATTCGACAACACCAGCGACGAAATAATAACCACCAAATTCAACAACACCAGCGATGAAATAATAACCACCGAATTCAACAACACCAGTGACGAAATAAGAGCCACTACCGAATTCGACGACACTAGTGATAAAATAATAACCACCAAACTAATGACACTAGCGACGAAATAAGAGCCACCACTGAATTCGATGACACCAGCGACAAAATAATAACCACCGAATTCAATGACACCAGCGACGAAATCATAACCACCAAACTCAACAACACCAGCGACGAAATAATAACCACTGAATTCGATGACACCAGCGATGAAATAATAACCACCAAACTCGATGACACCAGCGATGACATAATAACCACCGAATTCGACGACACCAATGACGAAATAATAACCACCAAACTCAAAAACATCAGCAACGAAATAATAACCACTGAATTCGATGACACCAATAACAAAATATAACCACCGAATTCGATAACACTAGCAATGAAATAACAACTACCAAACTCAATGACACCAACGATAAAATGCATAAGCACTGAATTCGATGACACCAACGATGAAATAAGAGCCACCACCGAATTCGATGACACCGGCGACGAAATAACAACCACCAAACTCAATGACACCAATGACGAAATGCATAAGCACTGAATTCAACGACACCAGCATGAAATAATAACCAATGAATTCGACGACACCAGCACGAAATAATAACTACCTAATTCGATGACACCAGTGACGAAATAATAACCATCTAATTCGACGACACCAGCAATGAAATAATAACCACCTAATTTGATGACACCAGCAACGAAATAATAACTACCGAATTCGATGACATCAATGATGAAATAATAACCACCTAATTCAACAACACCAGTGACGAAATAATAAACACCAAATTCGACACATCAGTGCCGAAATAATAACCACTAAATTCGATGACACCAGCAACAAATAAGAGCCACCATCGAATTTGACAACACCAGCGATGAAATACTAACCACTGAATTCGACGACATCAGTAATGAAATAATAACCACTGAATTTGACAACACTAGCGACGAAATAATAAGTACTGAATTCGACAACACTAGCAACGAAATAATAACCACCGAATTTGACAACACTAGCGACAAAATAAGAGCCACCACCGAATTCAACGACACCAGCGACGAAATAATAACCACCAAACTAACCATACCAGTGATGAAATAAGAGCCACCACCGAATTCGACACACCATCGACAAAATAATAACCACCGAATTCAATGACACAGCGATGAAATCATAACCACCAAACTCAATGACACTAGCGACGAAATAATAACCACTGAATTCGACAACACCAGTGACGAAATAATAACCTCCAAACTCAACAACACCAGCGACAACATAATAACTACCGAATTCGACAACGCCAGCGACGAAATAAGACCCACCACTGAATTCAATGACACCAGTGATGAAATAATAACCACCAATCTAACCACACCAGTGATGAAATAAGAGCCACCACCGAATTCAACGACAACAGCGACAAAATAATAACCACTGAATTCAAAAACACAGTGATGAAATCATAACCACCAAACTCGATGACACCAGCGACGAAATAATAACCACTGAATTCGACAACACCAGTGACGAAATAATAACCACCAAACTCAACAACACCAGCGATGACATAATAACCACCGAATTCGACAACACCTATGATGAAATAATAACCACCAAACTCGACGACACTAGCGACGAAATAATAAACACCGAATTAGACGACACTAATGACAAAATATAACCACCAAATTCGACGACACCAGCAACGAAATAACAACCATCAAACTCGACCACACCAATGACAAAATGCATACACACTGAATTCGATGACACCAACGATGAAATAAAATACACTACTGAATTCGACATCACCAGCGACGAAATAACAACCACCAAACTCGATGAAACCAATGACGAAATGCATAAGCACTGAATTCGACGACACCAATGATGAAATAAGAGCCACTACTGAATTCGACGACACCAGCGACAAATAATAACCACCAAATTCGACGACACCAGTGACGAAATAATAACCACCGAATTCGACGACACCAGTGACAAAATAATAACCACTGAATTCGACAACACCAGCGACGAAATAAGAGCCACTACCGAATTCGACGACACTAGCAACAAAATAATAACCACCAAACTAACGATACCAGTGACAAAATAAGAGCCACCACCGAATTCAACGACACCAGCGACAAAATAATAACCACCGAATTTAACGACACTAGCGACGAAATCATAACCACCAAACTCGACAACACCAGAACGAAATAATAACCACTGAATTCGATGACACCAGCGATGAAATAATAACCACCATACTCAACGACACCAGCTATGACATAATAACCACTGAATTTGACGACACCAACAATGAAATAATAACTACCAAACTTGATAACACCAGTGACAAAATAATAACCACCGAATTCGACAACACCAATGACAAAATATAACCACTGAATTCAACACATCAGCAACGAAATAACAACCACCAAACTCGACAACACCAACAACAAAATGCATAAGCACCGAATTCGACACACCAACGATGAAATAAGAGCCACTACTGAATTCGATACACCAGCAACAAAATAACAATCACCAAACTCGATGACACCAACTACGAAATGCATAAGCACTGAATTCGATGACACTAATGACAAAATAAGAGCCACCACCGAATTCGACAACACCAGTGATGAAATAATAACCACCGAATTCGATGACACCAGTGACGAAATAATAACCACTGAATTCGATGACACCAGTGATGAAATAATAACCACCAAATTCGACGACACCAGTGATGAA